GTCCATTCCATACTCATCTCAGACTGAACAATTTTCTACACACTTGCTTCTTCATTTCACTCTTGTCTTTTTCACCAGCCTTGATTATGTCATGAGTGGCCAATTTTGATCAAGCCAACAAGATCTGAGGCTTTTCCAGACAATAGACTTGAAGTGGTCGCTCAGTACAGATAGGGTGACCTTGGAAGCCTACAGGCGCATTTGTATTGCTACGACAACTCAACCCTTCAAGCTGAATTCACAACAGCAGTAATGTCGATAAAGCATGGCAAGTAAATTGCTCATGGATTAGCGCGTCACGTCATGAGGAAACTCGGATCATTTATTAATATAAAGAATTAATATGATTGTGGACTGCACTAATTTTAACGACGTATCATGGCCAAACGGCTGCAGTACTCCACGAATCAGCCAACATCTTCTGGTGAGATTGACCAACAAACATGTACTTCCATACGAAATGAAAGTCTTCATAACAATCTTATTTCAGGAGATGCTTTGAAACCCGTATTTTCTTTGTATTGGTTTCCTATGCCAAAATCTAGTTGACTCATCGCTTAGGGACAAACAAACTGTGATCTTCAAACTGAACAGGGTCTCTCAAAGTTTTCGGTACCATTCATTATCTGTATCATATCTCAAATTTCCTCATGAATACACTTATAATAAAGAAATAAGCCCTTATAACAAAGGTTCAATTACATGCAGGTCGTAAAGGTACAATAATTCGCCCATGAAAGTATCTTACTAGTCAAAATCATACTATTTGATGCGATTAAAATATAGTCATGTAATTGGTCCCATTCTATTGAAAAAGCATAATAAAAAGTCTTTATTGGTAAATTTGTTTCTTCATTCCTTAATTTAGTATAAGAGTAAGGGATAATCAAATAATACTAAAAAGTAAGTACTATTATAGACCAAGAAATACAGATATGTGACCAATTTTTCGTCTATAAGTATGTTTTACAAGCCATCGACAGATCATCTATAAGAAGTGTATTAACCTTATTTCGTTTAAGGTGATAGGAGAAAGGGTAGTTGAAATTTTTCCACAATTATTTTAGCAGACCTTAGATTTATATCGAATTTCACATAGTCTGGCTTCTCGTAAGGTATTCTCGCCAGAGCTGAAGTGGACTGCAGTTTCGACCTCGCCTGAACTAGTCTCATCAGCACCGCCAGCGAGACTCGAACCGTAAAAATGCAGCGTATAATCTCGACGTGTTAACCACAATCCTGTACCCACAAGGGCACTCGTGGCAATGTGAGCTAGTGGTTATCATGTTGAGATTATACACTGCAATTTCTTGGCTCAAGTCCCACTGTGGGTGCTGATGAAATCAGTTCAGACGAGGTCGAAGCTAAAGTCTAATTCAGCTCTGGCGAGAATACCTTTTGGGAAACAAGACTGTGTGAAGTTCAATGGAAACGTAAGGTCTACTGAAATAATTGTGAAAAAAATTCAACTGTTGAGCTTACTTCCATTTCGAGTGAAAGTGTTGGATGAAGAGATTCGAAGGTCACTTCCACCAGAAGACGACGGCGAATTCCTCTTTACCAGCTGTCGATTGGCTTTACTGCAACATTCATGCTGACGCTGTTTCCGAGGCAGTCTCCTTCGATTCCGGTGAAAATGTGCTGAGCTTTTGGCTGTCAAATGACGAACATCATCAGAGCAAGGTATCATCGTCACAACAAAAATCAAGCTAACGAGTCAAGTTTTCACCGGAATCGAAGGAGATTGCCTCGGAAACAGCGTCAGTATGAATGTTCCAGTAGAGCCAATCGACAACTGGTCAAGAGGAATCCGCCGTCGTCTTCTGGTGGAAGCGACCTTCGAATCTCTTCATCCAACACCTACACTCGAAATGGAAGTAAGCTCAACAATTATGAAACAAGAGTCCTCGAAACCCAAATTTTTTTCGCAAAAATTAAACTACCAGTCCCCTCGTCATCTTAAACTAAATAGAGTGAATACACTCGATATATTTGACCAATTGCCTGCGTCAAAGTTCTACTTAAGTAGTATCTTTCAAAAGTTGTTATTGCTCACTGGCCAGTAGACTGCAATAAATTTGTCCTATTTGCTGGCAAAAATATTATTCTGACATTCTCGAACAAATCTATCAGTGTAATACTTCTTCCACTAAAAGTGGTTTTCTAATCGTATCAAGGTGATATCGCTTTATCTCTTTCATTTATTCAAATTGTCTGTTTTACAATATTCCCTATCATGGATTGCATATGTTCCAACAACTCTGTCAATTTTAAAATTTCTTTCATTACATTTGTGTCTTTTTATCACATCTAATTTTAAAACCGATTTAATCGTCAATTAGTTCTTTAGTTCGCCTAAATTGTTATCTATTTAATAATCTTCCCTTTTATCATAATTACTGTGGGGATGTTATAGCCTTTTACATACAATTTGCTGTACAATTAAAATAGGATGGCATGGAAAGAGGCGACACGAACCTAAAGGGTTAGGGCCTAACGATAACTGATTTGTTTGCTGCGCCGTCTTTTGTAACCCTGAACACTACTACCTGAATTTTGGCTCGTATTAACTGCGACCTGGTGTCACTTTATAACTCCTTCTAGACAACCTCGTTTTTTAGTCATCCAAGTCCATAGGAAGAATTCGGATAACTAATCAAGCATTTTCTCCTCTGATTTTGTAGTAATGCTTCCTTTCATCATCGGCAAGTTATAGCCTTACCAAATGGCCGATAATTGCCATCCCGCTGAGACTTACAAAAGTCTGCTTTTGTCAGTTCCCTACATTCTCTGCCTTGCCAGACACTCTGCTCTTCCTAGGTGCTAATGAGAAAAATGCATGTTTATGATTTGTTCTCCTAAGCATCCCGGAATTATTAAGATCCCATTATTCCAGGTTATCCTGCACAGATACATCGATACTGTTTCTGCTAATTCTCATATCAAATGGCTACCATCGGGGACGTGTTCCAAAGTAACTATGCCGGTTGGATCAACTGGCGTTCAGTTCTCGTCACGAACTCCAAGTTAATTTTGACTAGAAGTGTGCGCAGTTACAGCATCACTTTTCATACCTTAATAAATATTCTTCTAAACCCTAAACATGAGAATAGGTTAAATGTGGAGAGTGAAAGTTAAAAAAATTAGGCAAAAACAATTTAAAGTAGTCTGATCTCGCAACTTAATCGTGTTGTCATGTCTACCTAATTAGACAAACCTCGTCCTGACTCTTTTGCTGTAGTAATTAAATTCAATATTTCTCAGCATCGGACTGTAGACTTGGTACATTCCCAGACTTAACACCAGAACCGTCAGCTGGTCATGATACCAAGCTGCTACTCTTTAAAGACAAAGAAGTCATTTCCTTGACCAATTTTTTTCGAATTAAGTATCGTTTTTCGTAACTGGCAGTAAATCAGTTATAAGGTGTATTCACCCAATTTCGTTTAAGGTGATGAAGGACTGGTAGAAGTAGAATTTTTCCACAAGTGGTTGAGCTTCTCTTCCTTCTTCTGTCCTGGTATATCTACCTGTCTTCTGGCCTCGTATCTCACTCCCTCGTGTGCCCTGTTTGCTTACCTTGCGCCCACCCTCCCTCTCAATTTGCCGGAATCGCTGAACCGACCTGTCTTTTTGACTATTTGTAGGTTTGTGCCGAGACTGGCAAGATTCACTGACAATGCCGACTTGCAATATAACAAGTCCACGGTCCGATACTGGGAATTATCATACCTACTGAAGCAGAGGAATTCGGGCAAGGATCATTCAGCTAGGTTGCCTTGACAATATGAGTAAGTTGCGATAACGAGATCAAACAACTTCCACACGGCTGAAGGAGACTACGACCCAAACAGAGGCCGCAAAATCTTGATATTCGTATCTACGAAGACCTACTTTGGCCTGATTGATACGACTTGAGGAAAAAGAGAGAAAGAGAGTGTGTGTGTGTTTGTGTGTGTTAAGCAACTTGCAAAGGAAGGCGACTTAACTACTAGGTTCAGTCATGTTTCTAGCAGAATTCATATTCTTTCTATACATCAAGTAGACTCCTTTAAGAGGCCAGAAATAAGTTCGGGTAAAGAAGTTGTGATTTATTTTAGCTCATTAATCATTGATAACCCTGGACTAGTGCTAAGCATTACTGTAAACATTCAGGCTTTTGACTGTTGGTTGCACCGCCTGATTTATATACATACAGACAAACTGAACACACGCAAATCCAAAAATAAAACATATTTATATTAGCATGAAAAAAAAACGGATCCGATCATTGTCTATCTTAAATAAAACCTGTTGGGCTTATTTAAAGCCCGTACGATAGAGCTGATTGGTCTTCATGACTTAGTGCTTGCTTAAAATTTTTAGGAGAATGGAATCCAGGTCTAATACCAGTCAACTGTCATGGCACAAGGAAACTAAACCTGTTTTCACCGAAATCGAAGAAGATATCTTGCGCGCTGCGCCAACCTGGGCTTCATAATGGCATTCAACTCTCCTCATCGGATAGTTTCATACAAAATAAAAGGCAGCCGAGCAAAAATAAAACAGTTTAAAGCATGTCACTGAGTTTTTAAACCCCAAATAAAGTCCCAACAATATGATATTTTATTATTTTTTGGTAGATATGATAACCAAGAAGTTGTAACCTCTGCTTTAGTCGCAGCCTTAGTTCACTGTATAAAAATGGTTTCAACTTGTTTTCACAACTTGATCGTGTTGTCAAGGCAACCTAGTTGAGCGCACCTTGTCCGAAGTCCTCTGTTACAATAGTAATGATAATACCCAGCATCGGACTGTGGACTTGGTACATTTCCAGGCGTTTCGCCATTTCCAGCACCAGCCATGAGGAAGCAGCTCATCACAGACAAATTGATCAGAGAGATGGCTTCACTTGTCTTCTTGATGAATTGTAACTTGGCTCTGAAATTGACAAAACGTCTTGGATGGTACCAAGTCAATGGTCCGACGCCGGGCATTAACAGAACTACTATAGCAGAGGACTTCGGACAAGGTGCGTGCAACAACACGATCGAGGTATTAAAACAAATTAAAACTACTTTTATGCATTTTGGTTTTCATGTCTACTCAAAAGTGAGTTTTCATCAGATTCCCTTGCAAACTTGAATTGATAAAGACATGATTCTCCCCTGAAAATCCCGCTTAATCAGTACGTCAGTGAAGCCTTTCAACGAGCGCGTTCACGATGCCGATTGCGTCAAGAGTGCTGATGAGAGGATGGAGAGAGTCGGAAGCTGGCAATCGAGCCTTTTTGCAATGCACGACGCAATGAAGTTCAGGCCAAAAGTCGAGCATCTGCTCTACACCGCAGCGTGGACAGCTGATCACCCACCAACTGGCAGACTCTCCACAAACCCCACACGTCGACAACAATCAGATTGGGGATAGATGCAAAGGCAACTATGACCGATTGCCTGGCTAAAGCCTGCAAAAATGTCAAATACAAACACTCGGATAGCCAGACCCACTTAGCCCCAGCCAGGACTGGCCAGAGGAGGGCTGCAGCAAAGAAGACGGAATGCAAAGTGAAAAGCAAACCCTTTACTGCCACCTCGTTGGGCGCGATAGCAGTTGGCAATTCTTTCCCAGCAAGTAATAAGTAAGATTAACTGGTTAAAAAAAGCAATCGATCACCCAATCAGAACAGAATTGCACAGAAATAATACAGATTGAATCAAGGTAAATGGATCAAATGCAATCCGATCAATGA